AGCCCACTGCCCCTGACAGGCTCCTAAGCCATTCAGACTAGGTGCATGCTTACTCAACTGTCACCCGCGCTTGTACGGCACTCGTTTGGGTTAACAAGTACTTTTTATCGAGAAGCAAGAAACAAAGACACGAGCTGAGCTCACCTAGGCTACGACTAGTGCTATAAACTTGAGTGCCATAGCCTAGCTAAGAGAGTCAGCGAGCAGGTGGCCCTTCAGATTCACAACCTTCCTGCTCTACAAGCACACTATGTACAAGCAGACCATGCATGCATGCCCATTCCTGTACAAGCACTGTTCCATGCCAGTTTGTGCCGCTCCGCCTCAGCAAGCCCACATGGTGCCCTCGCCACGTCCCCATCCCCCCCTTTTTGATGTGCCTCTGCTCTGGAATCCTCGGTTCCGCCAATTGGCTCCCCTCAGCCGCATCCGCACTGCAAGCCCACCGCTCCTGAGTCCGACACCTCACTAGCCCCAATCTGGCGCATTCTTATATGTGCATTGCAATTACAATAATGCGACATCCCCTCCCACCCTCCCCCTAGCGTTCGCTCGTTCCGTATGCCACCCAGTCGGCCAGCGCGATAGCTAACTCGCTCGCCAACTAGCTAGCACGCCAGCCAACAAGCCAGCTCGTCAGCGCTAGCTGCACCAGCCTGCCCGCCCGCCCTTAGCCTGCCATTTCGTGCTCCTGGCTGGCCGCCACCGCCCAATAGCCACCCCGCAGCCGCCGTTCAGCTGCCAGCCAGCTTGCCACTGGCTCACCGCCGCCTGCTTGCCAGCCAGCAGCCACGCCACCGCCACCACCAGCCAGCTTGCCATTGGCTCGATCGCCACCTGCTAGCCAGCCAGCAGCCGCCTCGCAGCCACAGCCAGCCAGCTCGCCAATGCGAACTTGCTAGCGCCAGCTCGCCAGCGCCAGCCAGCTCGCCGCTCGCCAGCACCAGCTCGCCAGTGCCAGCTCGCTAGTGCCAGCCAGCTCGCTCGCTTGCCAGCGCCAGCAGCCAGCACCAGCTAGCTCGCCAGCACCAGCTAGCTTGCCAGCTTGCTGGCTCACCAGCGCCACCAGTGCCAGCAGCAAGCAGCCAGCGCCAGCCGCCAGCCGCCAACAGCGCACTGCTAGCAGCCAGCAACCAGCGCTGGTTGTTGCTGACAGCTACCACTGCCACAGCTACTGATGCCCGCTGCCGCCCGCTGCCGCCTTTTACAGCCCACTGTTGCTGCAGCTGCCACTACCGCAGCCACTGCTGTAGCCATTGGCGCCGCTGCCCTTGCAGCCCCCACTGCCCCCACTGCCCTTGCAGTTGCCACTGCCGCCGCTGCCCTTGAACCTGCCGCTGCCGCCGCTGCCCTTGCAGCCACCACTGCCGCTACTGCCTGTGCAGCTGCCGCTGCCGCCGCTGCCCTTGCAGCCGCCACTGCCACCGCTGCCCTTGCAGCTGCCGCTGCCGCCACTGCCCTTGCAGCCGCCATTGTCACCGCTGCCCTTGCAGCTGCCACTAGCATCGCTGCCGCTACAGCCGCCACTGCCTCTGCAGCCGCAGCTACCGCTCCTATCGCCACTGTTGTTGCCAACCGTTTGCTTCGGCCTCTAGCAACCGGCCTCCAGCCGCTAACACCAGTCGCCACCTGCCAACAGCCGACCGCCAGCTCCAGCTGCCACTGGCGACCAGCCGCCGACCCCCAGCCATCAGCCGCCAGCTGCCACCACTCACGGCCAGCCGCCGACCACCAGTCGCCAGCAGTAGTCGGCCGCTAGTCGCCAGTCGGCTGCCAGCCTCGCGAGCCCCCTGTGCCCTGTGGACTATCATTTGCCCTATGTCGCCAGTCCTACTTAGTGCTAGCTAGCCACTCGGCGTGCTGCTCCTAGTAGCTCCTCTTGCACGTACTTCCTCCTAAACCCTTGCAACTCCTAGCCTACCGCAAGCCGCTCACTAGCCGCTGTCCACTCGCATCCAGCACGTTGCCGCCAGCTGGCTCGTAGCCCACTAGCCGCCAGCAGCGCTTGCCAGCTCGCCGCCGGCAGCGCCTGTCAGCTCGCCGCAAGCAGCGCCTGTCAGCTCGCCGCAAGCATCGCCTACCAGCTCGCCGCCAGCAGAGCCTGCCCAGCCACCTGCTAGTTTGCTGCCAGCAGCCTCTGCCCGCAGCTACCAGCTCGCCAGCACGCCAGCTCGCTGCTAGCTCGCCTTCTCGATCCCAGCTTGCCGCCTCTGGCTACCAGCCCGCCGCCAGCTAGCTGCCACTGCCGTCTTACTCTCACTAGCTACTGCTACTGGCTGCGTACCGCTAGCCGCTGCTGTTGCGAGCCTCCTGCTCGCTACCACCGCTCCAGCCACAGCCGTCACTGTTACTACTACCACTTTACCCAATCTTTGCTCCATGCTTGTAACCCCCGAGGGCAACCCCCGCGTTCTTATGTTATGGCGGTGTCGGGGCCTTAGGCAACCCCGTGGATACAGGCCATGGAGGTTAAGTTGCCATCCTACAGATCCACAGGCACTTCCGTCCGCGCAGTTCCCCCGCCTAGGGAAAATGTAGTCGATGGCATGTGGATCTACAGGGTGAAGCGCACACCTAGAGAGCCGTCGAAGTTCAAGGCGCATTGCATGGCTAGAGGCTTCAGTCAGCAGGAGTGGATTACTTCCAGACCTTCTCCCCTACCCCGAAGATGACTACTCTACAGCGTTCCTGCAGGGTGGTCTGCACGAGCATATCTACATCCGACGCCCACTAGGCTTCTCTGGGTCCTTCCCACCTGGGACCGAGTGGAGCCTGCGTCGGCCTGTCTACAGCCTTCGTCAAGCACCCCGTGAGTGGCACGAAACTCTTCACACCACTCTTGCTGAGCTGCAGTTCTTCCCGTCCTCTGCTGACCCCTCTTTCTTTGTTTGCACCAGCCAGACTCTGTTCGTAAATGATCTTATCTTTGCTACTCCTGACAGAGTCACACTGGCCTCAGTGAAGGCAGAGTTACTTAGGAGACACATCTGTACAGACTTGGGGGAGCTGAGGCACTATCTGAGCTTGTGGTCCATACGCAGAGCCGGTCAAGGCTTGTGGTCCATACGCAGAGCTGGTGGGGTGCCTCATGTATATGAGGTCCTACGCTTAACTAGATCTAGCATACCCTCCCAGTCTCCTCGCTTGCTTTGTTGCGACAGGCAGGCACCGACCAGTCCACTGATCGGCTACCAAGAGGGTACTGCAGTATTTGGCGAGTACATCAGGATTGGGGCTTGTGCTAGGAGGACGAGAGCCAGTGGTGCTCACTGGACACATAGACGCGCCGTTGGCTAGCGATTTGGAGATGCTCAGGTCGTCTCAGGGCTACTGTTTTAGACTTGGTGCTGGTGCCGTCTTGTGGAGGTACACTAGGTCGTCGTCTGTAGCTCAGTCTAGCCGTGAGGCAGAGATCTACGCTGGCGCCATGACCGCTCAAGAGCTCCGCTGGCTGTCGTCCTTACGTAAAAACTTAGGTGAGCAGCCTAGGTCTACGCCGATCCTGTTTGCTGACAACAGAGCCATAATCCTCCTGTGTCAGGAGGCTCGACTTGAGGGCAGGGCGAAGCACATCTAGCTGTGGTACTTCTTGTTGCGTGAGTTGCAGCATTGCGGCCAGGCTCGTGTAGTACAGTTGGCCGCAAAGGCCAACACCGTTGATATCTTCATCAAGGCACTTGCGCATCGTGACCATCAGCGGTTCTGTCCTCGGCTTGGTCTAGTCTCAGTAGCAGCTCCACTCCTTATATCTTGATATATACCTACTTGTACTTGCTGTAATTTACGTGCATGCCTTGGTACACTCGATGACTGGCCTTGTGGCCTCCTGTCTCAATGGTCAGACTAGTAGTGCTGCCTTGAGTTGTCTTCCTACCTTCTCCAGAGGTCAACCTAGTAGTGCTACCCTGGTTCGTTAAACGTTGCCTCTATCTAGGCTAGGGGGCGTGTCAACAAGCATATATTGTTACAGTATATATATATATATATCTAGTTAGAGTAGTTATGTTTTTTATAAAATAGCCTAGCTAGGTCAGCTCTTAGAGGGGATAACACTCTACTTGTATCTCCCCTTCCCTCTTGCTAGTCACAATTTTCTCGCGATATACTAACAAGAATTACATACAGCCACGATTGTGTTCGCAGTGCCAGCGTGCCGAAAGCCGCCCAAAACTTCCACGAAACGGTGGGGCCGTTGTCATCTAACTCCATGACTGTTGAAGAAAGGGTAGCAACACTCGAGGAAGTGCATCTTTCGAACGAGTTGTTTATCAGCATGAGTTGGCGCGTCGATGAGCTGAAACAACGCAAGTTGAATCCGAAATATCTGCACTTCGAAGTCAAATGCACTAGACACGACACAACGCGACCCTGCCAACGAGAAACCGAGGACAACATGAGCAAGTTACTCAACAGCGTTACAAAATACTTGGAGACAATCAGCAGCTACATGCAACTTCACTAAGGCTCGACAAGCAACCCACCGCCGATTATTAGACGAACGGAAGTTGGTGAAGGGGCGAATGTCAACCCGCCGGCCCAAATTACCTCTCCCGCCGGCCTGCAAACTGCGAACATCAACATGGCGCTGGGAATTCTCAAGACTCAGAGGCCACCCACGTTCGACCCAAACCAACGTGACAGTTTGTCTGTCACCGGATGGATTTCCCATCTGAACGTTTTTTACGACTACCATCCATCGTCGAAGATTCGTAGAAGATCCGATACGCTGTCTCCCTGCTACGTGGATCAGCAATGGATTGGTGGTAGCGGATAATACCGTCGAAGGAGCTGGATACAACGCCACGCGTGATCGGGCGTTTTCGCACAACCAATCCCTCGGCATGAGGTTTTTGCGAGATGGACGAGTACAATACGTGGCAATTGTGGTGCGCGGAAATTTGCCGCCGCTTCAAAACATCAACGCAAGTAGTCAGGCACGCGATCGCCTTCGCACATGGCGCCATCTCGGATCGGTCCTAGACTACACCAGCAACTTCAAGAACCTATGCAACCAGGTCGGCTACATTAACCCTGAAGAAAAGTTTGATAGATACATCGGGGAACTTCGGCTGGATCTTCGCCGAGAATTAAAAGTACGAGAAATCACATATTTGATGGAGGTGCAGAGGGTTGCAGAGTAGTTGGACTTGTTCTATGAACCAAGGACGGGTTTCTACAACGGAAATCGCACTTGGGGACCAATCGAGCATGCCAGTGAACACACTGTTACAACCACGAACTCAGCAGTTACTGTCTTCAAGGGTCGTTGTTTCTAGTGTAACAGGCTGGGACACCGCAAGTCGGAATGCCCAGAGGAGCGGAAGAAGCAGGATAATGGGCAAGGAAGTTCCAGCAATCAGGAAAACGCTTACTATCAGTAGTTAACGAGCCTACTACTAATGGAACATGCTCGCCCGTGACCGATGACCCTCATCAAGTTCTAGTATCGATACATGGGATCGACCAAACCCAGTCGAATAAGGAGGGTGCAGTGGTGGATTACCCTATCTATTTAGAGGGTAGGGTTCAAGGGAAAAATAAAATAAAATCTTCATGGATGGAAGTGCCAGCCACAGTCTCAACAACCTTGCCACGGCAAAAAGAATGAAGTTACTCCTGGATATGTGTCTACCGGAGATCGACGCAGACTAGTCGACGGGACCCCATCAGCAATAAAAGACCCGGCGGAAAAGATTAGGGTAAGGTGTGGAGCTGACTTCAATTTTTTTATAGGGATGCTAGCAACTGTACTCGACGGCTTCGACATGCTATTGGGACAGGATTGGCTGCGACAATTCAACCCCAGGGTGGATTGGACGTCTGGCAGCTGTTCCTTGAAAATAGACGACAGCAATGTAGTGTTACCAGAATGGGCGAAGGGGATCACAGGGGGAGTGACGCATGTGAACTCTGTGGTGATAAAACGAGTGGTCGCACAGGGAGCAAAAGTCTTTGTTGTAGTCGTCCACGCAGTCGATGTGGCATCGCAGTCGTCCGATTTAGAGAAGCTGACAACAACAGTGCTGGCCGACCTCGTGCAGCTAATTTGCAGATTTCCGCAAATATTTCCAGACGACCTGCCCGAGGGGTTACCACCGAAGTGGCCCTTTGTCCATCGAATCAAATTAGAATCGGAGACACAGCCCACAGTTTAGCGGCAATTTCGACTGACACAGCGGGAGTTAAAGGAGTTACGGAAGCAACTGTATAACATACTCAAGAAAAAAATCATTGGCCCAAGCTCATCACCATTTGCCGCCCCCATACTGTGCAACCCCAAGAAGGCCAGAGGGTACGAAATGTGCACAGATTACAGAGCACTGAACTGAGTTACCATCAAGTCACGTTACCCTATCCCTTGCACTGACAAAATGATCGATCAACTTCGCACAGCTCGCTTCATAAAAAAAAAATATACTTACGAGGGGGGTACCACCAAATAAGAGTAGTTGCAGCTGATTGTCACAAGACCGCATTTCGTACTAGGTACAAGACTTTAGGATTTAGGGTTTAGGGTTTACCCTATCCATTCCCTTCAGACTCATGAACGCCCCGACAACTTTTCAAATGACCATGAACCCGATCTTTAGCCCGCTCATAGATAAGTGTGTTATAGTTTACCTAGACGATATCCTGATTTACAGTGAGATCCAAGAGCAGCACTTCAAGGATATCGAAGTAGTTTTCACGCTACTACAGGAGCATCGGCTGCTCACGACATGGTATAAGTGCGAAGGTTTAAAGGATAGGTTAGAAATTTTAGGTCACGTCGTTCTCACTAAGGGCGTCGAAGTGGACCCGCGTAAGATCGAGACAATGCAAGCTTGGCTACTGCCTTCGAACCTGCAGGAGCTGCATTTTTTTTCCCCCTTTTTTCGTGAATTATGTTCGGAGGTTTATCCAGAATATGGCAAGGGTAACTGCACATTTGACCGACCTGCTGCGGAAAGGGACTGAGTATAGATGGGGGGAGAAAGAGCAAGCTGCCTTCTTTGCGCTCAAAACTTTTCCGTGCTCAGCCCCTGTCCTTCGCATCGCCGATCCTCACCGTCCGTTCGAAGTCATCACCGACTCCAGCGACATCGCCATCGGAGCAATACTGTTACAGGACTGCGGTGACGGACTGCAGCCAATCGCGTACAAGTCACGGAAGTTACATCCGCCTGAGCGAAACTATCCGGTACACAACAAGGAGATGCTCGCGATCGTGCACGCCTTCAAAGTGTGGCGGTGTTGCTTGACATGAGTGGACGTGACAGTACGAACAGATCACCGAAGTTTACAGTACATTCGTGCACAGCCTACAAAAAATTTTGGTGGTTGGATTTCATGGAATCTAATTTCTAACACCATCACCTACAAAATAGGTAACCCCCAACATCGCCCATCCAGCATCGTTAACCCCCTTTCTCGCCCATCCGCCCATCGCAATTCAATCATCCTCACCCAGACTTCCATGCTATTAGCAGGCCTATTTACCCACGGGTACTTGACGAACAGATTCTTTACATCGGGTGCATACAAACAGCTCGCAACAGCTAAGGGAGTTTATTATTAAATTCAGGGACTGACCACATCTGGGAACCAGAGTACAGTCAATTACAAGAGTTATTACTACAGGAAGCCCATGATAGTACAGTTTAAGGGCACTTTGGAGTGGAGAAAATACGACAATAGTTGACTAGATATTATTTCTGGCCCGACATGCAAGGGGACGTACAGTGGCATGTGGTTTTGTGCAGAATATGTCAAACCATGAAGTTGTCAAAGCAGAAGCCAGCAGGATAGTTGCAGCCAATTCCACCGCCTGAGCGTGCGTGGCAGCGGGTGACAATGGATTTTGTCATGGGACTGGCTACAATGATGTAACATTTGTCGTCGTCGACAAGCTAACTAAGCTGGATCATCTTGCCGCCCGCAAGAAAAGCATCGCTGCCGAAGAAACTGCATGCCTCTTCATCTCAATCGTCACTTGACTCCACGGAATCCCATCCGCCATCATTTCCGATCGTAACACGAAATTCACCAGCAACTTCTGGCGAAACCTTTGGGACTAGTTTGGCACGCGCCTATACTTCTCCTTCGCCTATCACCCCGAGACTGATGGACAAACCGAACGAGCCAATCAAACGATGGAGCAGATGATTCACGCCACTTGCGATGATGTAGCCAACTAGGAGCAGTGTCTGCCCCTGATTGATTTTGCGTATAACAATGCCCCATCAGCCACTACCCGACAGCCACAATTCTACCTAAATTACGGACAAAATCCCACAGTACCCATCACACCCAACATCGACAATCCCGTACCTCGAGCCCAACAGCTCGCTAAAATATGACAGAATGCCCAGGAGCAAGCAGCATAAGCCATTCATAGTGTGAACGTCATTTCTAAGCATAACGCAGACCTACACCGACGGACATAGACTCACCAAGCAGGAGACTTAGTACTGCTTGACACTTAGAATCTTCAACTGCCCATAGTCCCAAAACTCCGCCCCCGTTACTATGGACCACTACCAATCACCCACATGATATCCTCCGTCACAGCCCATCTCCTGCTACCTGCCACCTGGAACATCAGCCCATTTCCACCTGCGGCTGCTGCGACCATACATCGCCAGCACCAGCAGCTTACTCTGTCACCGAGCCACCCCCAACATCCAGCCACTCATCGAACAAAACAATCGAACCTGCGAAGAATTTCAGCCATCACATCAAGGACCCTCGAGGGGCTCGCTTGATCGAGCTCCTGGTACTGTATCAAAGAAGGACTGGACGTCCTTGGAAAAGAATTGGGTGCCTCTGACACAGATCGAAAATTACCCAGTGTTATTAGTCTACCTCCAGCCACGCAATGTGCGCGACGTCGGCGCTCTTAGCTAAGACCATACCTTGGAGGGGAGAGGGTGTAAGGAAATGGTATTTCCTTATCCTGGGTTTTAGTTAGTAAGGCGTACACTGTATAACGGGGTTGCCTCGCAGCTCTGCCAAAAAATCAAATCGCGACACCCAAATGTGGTCTTCTGACGAGCCGCATGCATTTTGCCTGCCTTGCAGTTTTCATGCCTAGATCCGGGCTCTTTGTGCTAATTTACAAACCACACGTTTCAGCTTTGCCCAGCCTCAACCGCGTGCTCTAGGCCTAGCTATATCCAGACTCCTTGTTGTTTTTATGTTGCCTTATTGCATTTTTCCTCGCTTCTCAATTATTCGACACACGCTCTTTGCGCTTCATTACAACATGTAATAAATATATGTATTCTTCCAAATGCTACATAAACTTGGAAGTATATCTAGGGTTTCAACCTATTTCTGCCCATAACTTACCATGGAAGAACTGGCAGGTAGAATGGAAATGTCTATCAAAATGCTGACAACCAACATAAATCCTAGGTAGTCGAAAATTCGCAAAATTTTAGTCCAACGGTTTGTAACCATTTATACTATGGGACGACTATCAAATAAAAATTAGGGTGTATTCCTATGCGCTGAGATCAGGATCAGACAGGTCTTATCTCGAGTCTGATCCTGCCATTTTGCTGCCTGCAAATCAGACTCGCTTGAAATAGGCCGCACGAGACTCCTTCATGGCTTAACTGATGTTGTGTGCTCCGATATGACCACTACTGAACGGCCTTTTTTTTGCTGCACCAGTACCTGCCCTAAGCTGAAATTGCAACCCACATACATGCGAGCGCAAAAAAAAACCACGAAAGGGAACAAACCCACAAACCAACAAAGATTCACCAAGCGCGGGCTTCTCGTTTCCCTCCCTTTCATTATCGACACCCGAGTCTGTCAATGTCGCCTGATTGGTGTAGTATTTTGGTAGGGTGTACATAGCACCACCCTGTTGGCTGTTCTATTCCAACATCCCCATCGCTCACGCGCTGGTTTCGTCACCCCAATGCCATGTGTGCTGACCATGCGAAGTATGCAATTTGGGTAAATTTGTGACAAACCTCGTACATGAAATATGATCATTCTGTGTCAAATTTGTATTCCCCAACTTCTTTCCCCTACCTAGCCCGCAAATTTACCGGTGTCTACATTCTCATGAGCTAGCATAAACCTTACAGTGACGGAAAAAACTGTCCGGAGGTTTGGCACTAATTAGGGGTTTTAGGCTTTCCGATCACGGTACATAAAGTCTTAATGTTTAATGGTGGTACACTTTGGGAGGGGAACATAGTGGATGTGTTCACAGCACTTAAGTCCATAGTACTACACTGGATCTAATTAGTGCCAAAAGTTATACAAGGGGGTCATGCTGGCAGTTTTTTCCCCGGACAAGGCGCAAACTTCCGTACAGGTTTCTAGTACCTAGTACACCGACCCTTGGCCTTGAACACCACCCGCACCCTCCTAGGCATGTTATCTATGAGGTTAGTGCAAACCGTTGCAGAGATCTTCTCGCACTCTTCTTGGACCCTCCCTTTTGCATAAGGGGGTGAGCACTAGGAAAATTCGAAGGATTTGAGCGTCTGCACGATTTCTGTTTGAATGTTACGTATGAGGCTAGCCACACTGAGGTATGGCCAAAGATGTCATTAGCCGATTGGTTCCATCTTATCATGGGTCATCTTCATCGTACCGCTGTAGGGTAAAACCATGAACAGAGGAACGAAAACCAGTGTAGATGCCGCGAAACTGAGGGTAACGTAGCATGGTGGATTGTTGATCCTTGCACTATTAGAATAATGCTAGGATCCGCAGCTCTCGTTTTGGTGTAGCAGTCAAAGAAGTCGCGACTGTCCGGGAAGAATATCCGGGTTGAGGTCTGGTGAAGAAAAGGGCCACTCTAGTGCTACAAACTCATGCTCTCCAATGCTATTCCAAGCCTAGGCGGTACAAATGGCTTGGAGAGCATTGGGGAGCATGGGTATGTGGCACTGGAGTGACCCTTTTCTTCACCAGACCTCAACCCCGATATTCTTTCCGAACAGTCGCGACTTCTTCGACTGCTGCACCGTGGCGAGACATGCAGATCCTAGCGTGGTTCTAATAGTGCAAGAATGAATAATCGACCGTGCTACGTTACCCTCAGTTTCACGGCATATGCACTATTTTTCGCCGCTCTGTTCGTGGTTTTACCCTACAGCGATACGACAAAGACAACCCATGATAAGATCGAATCAATTGGCTAATGGCATCTTTGGTCATACCTCAGTGTGGCTAGCCTCATATGTAACATTCAAATAGAAATCGTGCACAAAACTCTTGCAGATGCTCAAATCCTCGCGATTTTCCAAGTGCTCACCCCCTTATGCAAAAGGGTGGGTCCAAGAAGAGTGCGAGAAGATCTCTGCAACAGTTTGCACTAGCCGTGTAAATAACATGCCTTGGAGGTTGCGGGTGGTGATCAAGGCCAAGGGTCGGTGTACTAGGTACTAGAAACCTGTTTGGAATTTTGCTCTTTGTCCCAGGAAAAAACTGTCCGGATGACCCCCTTGTATAACTTTTGGCACTAAGTTAGATCCAGTGTACTACTATGGATTTTAGTGCACTGAACACATCCACTATGTGCCCCTCCCAAAGCGTACCACCATTAGACATTAAGACTTTATATACCGTGGTCAAAAAGCCTAAAAACCCCAATTAGTGTCAAACCTCCGGACAGTTTTTTCCGTCACTGTATAAGGCCGGTCATTTAAAAGACTCCTTATAAATATATCATTACCATGTTAGACATGAAGATAGCAAATTATCCTACTCCTTCGCCTACCCCTAGGATTTCTAATGAAGACGCGCCTGAGTATAATATAGTTACAGCACAAGAAGAAAAAAATGGTTCAAAAACGGCTCTCCATGTACACGGGGTGGCTCTGTTTTCTAATAGCAGACTACGAGTATGGACAACTCAAAGTATGCTAGAGTGGCAGCAGCGAATGCTATTGCGTTACCACCAGCTCCTGCTATGCAACAGGAGCCTGCAAGTTGTTTCGCCTTTACGCCAACCCCACAACATAAGGACTA